CTCCAGGACCCTAGAGCAACGCAAAAGCTGCTCCCTTCTGATTTTTACCATCACACCTGCCTTTGAATAATCTATTACAGATAGAAGCTATATAGAGCAATTCAGCCTTTTAAGAAAAGGATGGAAGGGTCAGCAGGTTAAAGCACCTGCAAGCAGGCTCAGGGGCCAGGGATTTGATCCCCAGGCCTGCCATGCCGGCCCCTCCCCTAGGGAGTGCTGAGACGGCAATTGGGACTGGGCGTGGTGGCGCAAGCCTGTAATCACAGCTCTTGGAAGAAGGATCACTATGAGCCCAATCTAGTAGTGATACCCTGAACACTCTGTAGATCGGTCCCTAAAATGCAAAAAAAAAAAAAAGGATGGATTAAATATTCAAACAGAACAATTAATCTATTTATTAATTAATGACTTTATTCTTGAAGGTTGGCATCACTTTGGCCTACATCAATCATAAAATCTACCCTCCAAGGGTTAAGACCTTGCCCTCCGTAAGGGTTTATAAAAAATATGGTTCCAGTCCCAGTAGCAGTTTTAAACAATAATGTCCAAAATGATTTCAAGTAACGACGGCATCACTGGAGTAAGTGTGTAGCCTGGTAAGGTGGAAAGTGTTTCCCGTATACTTATAAAAATTTAGGGAAATTTCAATACTGCTGATATCCAAAATGTTCATGAATTTTTAGATGTGAGAGTGATCCTAAGTTACACTTCTGAAGGAGTTTATTTTAGAGATACAAACTGAAACATTTACAGATGAAACCTGTGATAGAGATTTGTTTCAAAAACAATCTAAGGAGAAAGGGAGAAGGGAGTCGGGGTGGGTGACAGGATGATCACTATATTCAACTCAACTTTGAGTATGTTTGAAAGACTTCAATCTGTAATTGTACATTGCCTCCCCTGGTAGATGCATAAAAAAGTGTGAGAGCTGGAAGCTTCCTGGGTTGGGGGTGACAGGCCTGCAGAGTTCACACAGTCTAACCACTCACAAGGTTGCTGTGGACAGTCCTTCATTTTTTCTGCTCTGTTTTCTGCCTGAGTTGCACCTAATCAGCAGACACACACACACACACACACACACACACACACACACCCCTTCCCAAACAGGCCAGATGGAGTCTGAGCATAAGGGCATCTCTATAGCCCTGCAAGCCCCTGGGAAGAAAGGTGTGGCATTGCTCCTCTTGTCCTTACCCAGGGCTTGCAGAGGTGTGGTGTGAAGCTCAGCTCAGCTGACTCAGGACTCCAAGAAGCCCCTCTGCATTTGAAGAAACTGCCTCACTCGCTCATAGTTCTCCATGCCAGCTGAAAAAGAGCTGAAACAAAACACCCTGCTGCCACACAGGAGGCTTTTAGCAGCACTGTCCACCCTCACACAAAGCCCTTGTTTATGTGAGACAGATGGTCCTGCGTGTTTCTCTCCTCCCCCCTCCCTCCCTCTTTCCCTTCATTTGTTCCCCTCTGTTGCTTTGTCCCTCTCCACTTCTCCTTTTCTCCCATCCTTCTCTTCTGCTTCATATCACTTTTCCTGAATTGACTCAAGGACCAGCAGAAAGGACAAAAGCAGACAGCAAACCAGAGTGGCCTTGCCAGGGTCAACTGCCTGCACACAGCGGCACCCTCTTTGAAATGCATATTTGAAGACAGTGTGAGGGGACTGTGCAAACATTAAAAGACCCATAAATATTTATGTTGCCTTCATCATCGTCTTCACAGGTCACCTTCTACAAAGTATAGTGCATACACACATGCACATACATACATGCATATGTGCATACGCATGCTCCTTCCAGGCCTGGCCATTCTCAAAGAAGAACTGTAAACCTATAGTCTCACTGACTATTTACTGCACTAAGCATGTCTACAAACCCACTGAGGAAAGGAAATGGAAGGATGAGATATGTGAGGGGCTCTATCCACATGCAAGGCCAGTTCTGCCCTCTCTGACCCAGGCAAGCTGCTTTAGTGTTACCGCCTTGGTTTCTTCTTCTGTAAAATGAAAGCACTGGACACATAAGTGATCGATCGTTCAAGCTTTCCCTCCTCAAGTCTATAGTCAAACACACCATGTTTCTAGAGAATTCCTGTGTGATCTGCCTGATACCCAAATACTGAGTGGAAACAAGAGGTCTGTAGAATAGAGGTCAAACCAGTCACTGGGCTATGGAGTGACCTGTGTAGTAGCAGAGGAGGGAAGCTAGGGGGAAAGAAATGAAGGGCTCAGCAGACTAAAATGCCTGTTTAGGCAGAGCCCTAGGGGCTGGGGTTAGATTCCCAGCTTGCCATGCCGGGCCCCGCCCCAAGGGAACACTGAGACTGTGATTGAGACCGGGCGTGGTGGTGCACACCTGTAATCCCAGCTCTTGGGAGGCTGAAAAGAGAAGAACCACTACCAGTCCAATCTACATAGTGAGTTGCTATAGACGCTGTAGACCCTGTACTAAATACATGAAAGAAAGAAAGAAAGAAAGAAAGAAAGAAAGAAAGAAAAGAAAAGAAAAGAAAAGGAAAGAAAGAAAGAAAGAAAGAAAGACGACTTCTAAGCCGAAGACCAAGCAAGATTTGACACTAGCCTGGATGTCCAGAAGAAAGACAGAGGAAAATTTGGTAAAAGGAAGCGTTTTCAAGGGCCAGCCAAATAGCTTAGCAGATTAAAGCACCTGCAAGCAGGTGCACAGGCCGAGGGTTCAATCCAGCGCTGCTCCCAGGGCATGCTGAGACAGCAATTGAGACTGGGCGTGGTGGCACGTACCTGTAATCCCAGCTCTTGGGAGGCTGTAAAACCAGGCAGATCACTGAGTCTGACCTAGTAGTGAGACCCTGAACACCCTGTAGATCCTTCCCTAAAATAAAATAAAATAAAATAAAATAAAATAAAAAGGAAGTGTATTCCTACCGGCCCCACTTGGTCACTTGAAATTCATTCCCAGGTCCCAGACATGCTTCACACAGACTTTCTCCAAGAGCCAGCACACTGGCCCTTTTAGAAGAGGTCTTAATGTGAGGCTGTTCTCTATGCAAGGATAATAACTATCCCCCAGGGCCACCCCCACCCCCGGATGAGAAAGCATAAAGACTCATGTTCCAAAAAATGAAGTCGCTATTTAAGCAGTAACAGCTACATCTGCTAATGATTAACTCTAGGATTTATTACCAATTAGGACTATAAATCTCTGCTTATTTTGGCTCCTGGAAAGTTGATTTCACTGGGGGGTCAGGGCGGGGTTGGGAGAAAGTCATTTAAGACAAAGAAGGAGAAATCCAAGTTTAAAAAGACACACTTCAGAATCAAATAGAACAAGATTTCTCAAGCACCAGAGTTGAAAGCTGGCTTGATGTGTGGTTCTGAGCCAACAGTCAAGCAGATGTCACAAGGCACCGAAGTCAGAGGAGCCGGTGCCACTCAGCAAAGGTTGTCAAGGGCCTCAAGGAGGTTCCCCAACTGAGAGGACCCCGGCATCCAGGGCATGGCATGCAAGTGGGCAGAGCAGAGTAAACAGCAGGCTTAGTTTATCCCAGGCATTTTCAGTTTTGGCTGCATAACCTCTGAAGCTCTAAAAACACACCTGCACTCGGGTTGCACAAAAGAAGGTTCAATCAGAGTTTCCAACAGTGGATGAGGCCTGGGCGTGAGAGCTGAGCTCGAGAATCACCAGTTACTTCATTTCACCCTTAAGCAGCTCAGCGTTACAGGGCTGCAAAAACTGAGAGGCCAGTAGCTCCAGAGTCATGCCGCTACAGGTGGCACCAGAGCCCAGAGCCTGCACTCTTATTCATTGTACCCCATGGCCACCAAGTCTCTGGTTCTCTGCTTTCCAGGCCCTGAATTTCATGGGGTTTTCAAGGTGGAGAATGAGGGACTAAATGATTTTTGTATGTTATTCCAAAAAATTATGGAAATAAGACAGTAACCCCTGTAAATGCTACCTGTTGCTAGGAGGATGTACTTCCCTTAGATGGAATGACATCAACAGAAAGAATTTGCCCTGGAGGGCCAGGGATGTAGCTCAGCAGAGGTGTAGCATCTGCCTGGCAAGAGAGAGGCCCCAAGTTCCATCCAGTACCAAAATAAAGAATTTGTCCTGGGAATTTCAGGCTCATCAACAGTTCTCACTCATTCATTTAATACAATATTATTAGAAGGGGCTGGGGAGATAGCTCAGTGGCTTAAGTGCCTGCTTGGCAAACACAAGGTCTTGAGTTCAACCCCCAATACCAAAAAAAAAAAAAAATTTCTTTAAAATGTTTTGAGAAAGTGGGAATATAGTGTTTCTGGTCCATAAGTATTTAACCCAAGGCAGAAAATGCAAATTCTTGGCTGGCAGCTAAGGAAGAGTAATGAATTAGGTGTCAGGAGGGAAGGTGGAGACTCTCATGACCCCCCAGGGCCTGTGTCCTAACAAGACAGCAAATTCTCACATCTATTGAGAAATTGCCACACAGGAATGGGGGGTGCAAGGTTATCAGGCTCTTCAACTTTAGGGGAAGCTGTAAATACAGGTTGCTTAATGCAAATCTCTTTTTTTTTTTGGCTTTTGGCTTTTGGCTTTTGCAGTTTCCTTTTTCTAAATTAATTACCTTTACTGGTACATTTTAGATATACGTAATGTTCACATTCATCTTAGAGAAATTTTACCTGTACATGACACAGCTTGATTCTTTTCCCCCTTCCTCTACTCTCCCCTCAAGCCCCCTTCACCTCCTTATTTATAAAAGTTTTGTTTCCATTTTTTCCTTCTTTTCTCATCATTTTTTCTTTACTTTTTCGTCCTTTCCCCTGCCCCATCCCTAGTTCCCTTTCCCATTAGAACATTTTTTTTACTATTCCACAATAGATCTCTCCAGTTTTCAAATGCCATCTAATTCAAGTCTTTTCAAACCAACGTGTAGACCAAGCAATACAGGTTGCTTGTAGCTCTGGCTTTGCCATCAAAGATGATTTCCGCAAAGTCCCCTAGATCCCAAAGCAGTGTTCGTTCACCTGTGCCTTCCCCCCACAGGTGTGCTCATTTACTTTGGGTATGGCATCTGGAACAGCACCCTGGAAATCAGCGCCCGGGAAGAGGCCTTACACCAGAGCACGTACCAGCGCTACGACGTGGACGACCCCTTCTCGGTGGAGGAGGGCTTCTCCTACGCCACCGAGGGCGAGAGCCAGGAGAACTGGGGCGGGCCTGCTGAAGACAAAGGCTTCTATTACCAACAGATGTCAGATGCGAAGGCAAACAGCCGGACAAGTAGCAAAGCGAAGAGCAAAAGCAAACACAAACAGAACTCAGAGGCCCTGATTGCAAATGATGAGTTAGATTATTCTCCAGAGTAAGGATAAACATACAGAGGGTAGCAATGGCGATTGGTTTTCAGCAACTTCACTTGTGGGCTCAAAGGTGAAGGCTTTTTTCACTCTTATTACCCCAAAGTCCATCCCCATCATAGCCTTTCACTTGCTATTTTTGCTCATCGGAATGGTTCTAAAGAAGGATTTGGCCCAGGGTTCCTAGCTGGTCTCTGTCTGAAAAAGAATAACCAAGAGGCTACACCAAATTCCATCTAAGGTACAACCAGCAGAGCTGAAGGCAGCAAATGTTTCCCAGGCCTTTGCTTTTCTGGTTGAATTCTCTTGCTACTTACTGACACCCCACGAAGCAAGGGGCAAGCTTCTCAAGCCCCAGAGAGGCTGCAGGTCCTTCGGAGACGCCACAGAGCAGGTACACACACACACACACACACACACACACACACACACACACACACCCCCGAGAGTATAAAGGCAGAGCTGTGTTCTCAGCCGTCAGGCTGAGCCCTCCTCCCCAAGTCAGCGTGAGCAGGTGGGTGTCAGCCCTTCCTCAGTGAGCAGACTCGCTCACCGCTCACTGCAAAGACATCAAAGAGCAGACACACACGTGCTTCCTTTTTTCATTCATGTTCTCCCACTTCCCAAATAGCGTTTTAGGATCCAGCAAAACAAAGGACTCTCAGACCATTTCCCCAAAAGTTTCAGATTCGGACCTAACAATATGATAAGAAGCACTCTCAAAGCTTTACTCCAAAGTGCCTGCCTGGCAAGCGCAAGATCCTGAGTTTGACCCCTGGTACCACCAAAAAAAAAAAAAAAAAAAAGCTCTACTAAAATACCCATAAAAAAATTAAATAACCATCTCTTGCCATGAAGGCCAGAAAGGCACTGGCAGAAATTAACCATCTGTCATACCTTCCCTTAGACCATGCTCTTGAGCTCCTGCTGATAGGACAATGGAGGGCAGAAGTGGAGCGTGATCTCATGGCACTAATATGCCTTGAAGAAGTGAGCATTTGTTTTTATAATCAGATAAAAGTCTTGGCAAGAAGTGACCCAGCCACTGAGATCGCATTGCAAATTCTACTTCATATTTCTAAAATTATAAATTCTGCAAGGTTGTTTTTTTTTTCATTGACTTGATTGGTGGATCCTACCTTGAAAACAAAAAAACAAAAAAACAAAACAAAAAAAAAGTTGGAACACCGCTACTTAAGTAATTACATTCCATGAGATCACATTTCACTTTTGAAGCTTACGCCTCTGGGGTAGATTACCTTTTAAAGTATTTTTCTCTGCTATTTCCCAAAGCAGTTTCACTGTAGCCCTGAGAAATAACTACCTGATAAGGTCTAAATTGGGGCCATAAGAAGGATTCTTAAAAGAATTTGCTCTGAAACAGGATAAACAGCAAACAACACAGGATATAAATTCTACTGTTGGATTTCAAGGATTCCCCCTGGCTGCCCTGAGCTGTGTATGCATGTGTGTGAAGACATGATTGTAATCAAGCTGAGATCATTGAAAGAACTTTCTGGAAGGGGGGAAAACAGTGAATTTCTTTCCCTTCCCTTCTCTCTCCTCAATTTATCACTCTGCCAAAAAGTGTTCAAAACACATCAAGTGACATTTACATCTATTCTTTCTTAAAACTTGAGGCTCATGCCTTGGCAAAAGAAGTAAGGTTCATTTTGTTGTTGTTGTTGTTGTTGTTCAATTAACACTAATTGAGAATAGGCCCAGTGCTAAGTAAAGGGGATAAGAAGAAACCTAGTGTCTGCCCTTCCAGGTCACTGTTCAGGGAGGAGATGCTGATAAACACAGACACAACAATCAAACTTGACCAGTCCTCATGCCTGATTTTCTGGGCTCTTAACATGTAAAAACCAATTAGAAGTAGATTTTAAAAAATACATTCTTAAATAAATTGCATAGCATGCCCACAACCAATGTCTACTATTACATTCAAATAACTACCATTTTTAAGGTATTTCCTATCCATCTGCACTAATTGTTTAGAACTCTGGCTTCCTGAGTACATTTTGTCACTTTCATGTCATCCTTGATGATGCTGGGTTTTCTCTTCCCTAGTGGAACCCTAAAGATACAGGGCCTGGTCTGTGACATGCATCCTTGAGGATTAACTCTACACTGATTATCAGGAATCTTTGTGAAAACAAGGTTTTAAGATGGTTTTATGACTCAAGAAATCAGACCAAATGCAGTCTGGTAAGCTTGACACACCATCTATATAGATGGAGTGAGTTACATTCATTAAATATGTTAAAAGAAAAACATAAATGTAAAATAACAAAAAGTTAACACACAAAAGAATTTGCTTTTACATATGAGTGTGAGGCCTTAAAGGCTTAAAGATCTTAAAGATCTAAGGCCTTTAGGTCTTAAAGCAGCATGGTCTGATGGCAGGTTATGTATTTCTACAGCATAGGAAGAAAGGACACTTGCTTTAGCGCTCACCAGTGGTGTTTTGGCGAAGAGCTTACGGACCACACTATTCAGAAACCATTTTTCTCAAATAGTGTCTTTACATATTTTAAGCTTTTCTCTTTATTTTTTTAAAGGTGATAGGTCCTCTCCCTAGCATTCTTAGGTTTTTTTAAAAAATCAATATTTTAGGCAAAGTTTTTCATGATCCATTGTCATATTTTCCCTCATATTTCCCAGTTTGTACAAAATAGTTCCAGATTTCACAATGCAGTTTTCAAATATCATCAATCACAAATCTGTTAGAAAGGCCCTACTACAGTTGTTCCTCAGTTTACAAACTTAGTTCTTTCCACGGTTCTGGTCACAAGCTGAATTGGATCAGTACTACATCAATTTCCCCATCAGGTCAACATTGACCCTACCCACTTAATTTGATTCAATTCTCATCCAATTTGGTTTGCAACCACAATCCTGGAAAGAATTAAGTTCACAAACTGAGGTATCCCTGTGTATTAGAAATTTATCCCCCTTAGAGCAGCCCAAGAAAGGTCTACATTTTACTGAATTCTTCTCTAGGGCATGAACTGTTCTTGAGATTTCAGTGTGTGAAATTGGTTGTTTAGAGACAATTGAGTTTTTAAAATTTTATTCTACTAATTTATTGATTCTCTGCATCTATTTAAAAAGATCTGGGCTGGTGAGATGGCTCAGTGGTCTAAAGCACCTGCTTGGAACAAGCTTGACAAAGCACAGGGACCGCGGTTCAATCCCCCAGCACCACATGCCAGCCAGCCCCGCCCTCTGGTGGGCTGAGCTGGCCACACACACACACACACACACACACACACACACTAAATAAATAAATGTAAAAAAAATTTTTTTAAAAAAATAAAAAATAAATAAAAAGATCCAAGGTAGCCATTAAGATATATATGATTCAAAACAATAATTAAGTGAAAATTTCAATAAAAATAGAAAACCAGAAAAAGGCAAAGCTAGAAGTCTGTTTAATGCACAAATGCAGAACTCTAATATGCTTTGCTAAATTTTCCAATGAGGAACACCTTAAAATAATAAAATTGGCAATAATAACAAAAAATAGGGCTGCATAATACAAACCAAGTCTTTCCCATAAAAGCAGAACATTAAATAGCACAGACCATTGAAATACATGGATAAGCCTCACATCTATATTTTACTAACTGCATGTGCCTGGTGTAGAGTGGGTAATTTGAGAAATATCTGATGGTTGGGTGGATGAATGAATGAATGAATGAATTGGAGGAAAATAAAGTATTCACCAATTATTTAGAGTGCCTACTATGTGCTATGGCATATATTTATACAACAAGTAAAATAGAAATCCAGCTCTTGGGCTGGCAAGATAGCTCAGCGGACTAAGCACCTGCTTTGACAAGTGCAGGGACCAGGGTTCAATTCCTGGTCCCACATATGGCACCGGCCCCACCTTCAGGGCTTGCTGAGCCATTGAGTCTAGGTGTGGTGGTACACGCCTGTAATCCCAGCACTGGGGAGGCTGAAAACAGGATGTCACCACAAGTCTGAGCTGCATTAAGCTGAGAATGAAAATAAAAATAAATACATAAATGAAAATAAAAATAAAGAAATCTAGCTCTTAAGAAATAAAGGGAAATAGGATATATAAACAATGCACAATAGTGGAAGTGAGATGAGAGTAGTGACTGTGTGTGATAGAGGCACAAGTATGGAAAAGATCCCTTTCCTCTGGAAAGCTTAAAAAGAGCAGAGTTCTTCTATTCTTTTGCATGAGTCTCTGGAGTGAACAGACCTTTACTAGATGGAAATGGAGAAAGGTATACCAAACACAGATGAGTATGGTGCAGGCTGTGGCTGACAGCTACTCCCGGACTAGTCTGTACTGTGATTCCTTCGAGGGAAAGCAAGGGGCTAATTTATACCTGATACATACACAGAACAATAACCAATGCTGGGTTGGTGGGTTAGTTGACCATTGAGCCAGCTGGCTCTTCTTGGGTGCAGAGAGACTAGGGACAGGATGAAAGTGTGACTCATAGAAGGCTGGACTTGTGAAAAGCTGGGCTGGTGGCTTCACTGCCCATGCAAGGCACTAGCAACTCATGCACATGCTCCAAGTTAAAAGATACCCATAGTTAAAAGCAGTATAGGATCCTTTTTTGAATCTTATATCTGATCTCATCACTAAACAAGGAAAAATAGTCTTTTACTATATGGACACACAACACATAGTTATTTATGGCCACTTTTAAAAATTTAGTAAGAAGTTTCAACAATCAAGCTAACAATTTTTTGTAGCTCTCTAAACAATAAGACCTCAGTTCCCAGTTTTATTCAACTGCAGTACTAGACCACTTTGAACTACTGAAAGAAAGTGAAAGTCAGAACTAGGTGAAAAACCCAGTTCTCCTCTGAATCAAGTATCTGTATTATAGTCATGATGAGGAATGGTTTAAAATTTAAATAAAGGGAGGGAGTGTGAGGACGAAAGGCAGTTGTTGAATTTAACAATCTAGCCTCCAGAATGTATGGATCAGTCCGGATACAAATACACTAATTATTAGGGAGCAAAACTCAAAGAAACATCTTTCCTCTGTTCTGCTGAGAAGAGTGGACAAAGTAGAGCAGGTTTATTTACAAGGGGCTTCCTCTTCTCTACATTCGTAAATAGGACCTATATCAGTTTGAGAATCATCTAGAAGGCTAGAAGAAATTACCATCCCCTCTACCAGCAGGTTTTACCAAAAG